GGGGGGGGGGCATTTTTCACTTTGTCCATTGCAACCACCGAACATTCAAGCAGTCTCCGGCAAAGATACTCAATAGGTACTACCCTCGTCTTAAAAACCCGGATGTTCACTGCACGCTCCTCTGTACCAGTGCAGCGCGCACGTAAGAGCACCTAAGGTCGTTTCAGAAACGAACGATTACCTGATCGAAGCGGAGACTTCTTCGAAGATAGGTGGACTGGCCGTCTAGATCGACGTGAGACACGAACGCAACCGCGCTTCGCTCTAACACCTTGGAATTGCTTTGACACCACTATCCATGAGGTCTGCCAAGGGAAGAATTATACCGTAGAGGGATGGTTTGGAGAGTTTTCGTAAGTTTTTGACTCGCACTGTCCATCCATATCGACTTTCAACGTTGGTCTGCAAAAGGAACCAATCCTGGACCAAACTCAGCAGAAACCAATCCTGAAGTTCATTTGAGGCGAACGCAACTGCCACAAAAAACGAAATACATGAATTCAACTCGAAGCATTGTCAAGAGAGTTGGCAACCATTCTGGTAGATACTTCGAAGAACCTGAGAACTCTAGCACAAATATACAAGTTCTCGATTGTTTAAGAAGTTATTAATTACTTCGAGCAAATTAGCACATGCCCGTCCATTCTGGTATGATCAGACCAAGATGCCATGCCGTCCCTATTTTTCGCAAGGCACCGAAATTACCACCAATTCCTCGGCTGGTTACGTCGAGGCACTGAAGGTTTAAACCACTGCTCAACGGAATCCTGGTCCAAGACAAAGATTGTCGCATAAACGGATTCTATTCCGGAACCTAAGCAGTTCAAAGTCAGCTTCTTTGGCTCTGTGCCACCACGCCAGCAAAACGCATTCATTCAATCGTTCAGCAGACCAGTCAATCATTCGTCGCTTATTGATTCATTCTTTCACTCGCTCATTAAATTATTTTTTTATTTATCTGGTCGCATATACAAGAGGTAAATGGCACGGTTCTGTGAACGTGCTTTCTTCGTGGCCAAATATGGAAAGAGATCCTAATGCGTTTCGTACTTACCTATCGTCAGAGCATACTTGTGCCGAGTAAATTTGCTATGAGCACAAGTAATATGTCTACATCAATTATGAAGCAACTTCATGTCATGGAAAGAAGACGCGTTTTTATAAACAGTATAACATATTACTAATTTGTGATCAGCTTCTTAATTCAGTCAGTACAGATCTGCTACAGGTTACTATGAAAATCTGCGTAACCAACTATTTTTTCTTTAACTGTTCGGATTAGGCAGTTTATCCTGTAAATAAACTAAAAGCAAAACTAAAACAAAGTGCAGGTGCAGCACTTAAACAATGGAAACCTACAGTAGGCTGGCTGAAAGAATACATCTGTTAGTTCGCAATTCACTCGAATTTGCAAATGGCCCTAATGCTTGAGCTTTAAAGTTGAACAAGCTCTAAATAACAGTTAGACATCAGTACCGCAGAAATAGCAATGGTAAAATGATTTGGATGGATTATCAGTCCAGATGGGTAGGAATCCAAGAATCAATGAGGAACAACCACGTGATTAAAGGTTCCGTTTTCGAGTAATTGCAAGTAAATTCAGCTTCAATGATTCGAAAGCTTCATGCGTAAAGAAAACAGTCACAGGGTATGCTGAGGAAGAAAAATGAATATGGAAAATGGAACTTGAAATACTTCTTCTAAGGCACACTGAATGACAATATAAACGGCTAATCCATGCCAAAGACGCGAATTCCGAGTAAACAAGAGTATGACGTTTCAGTGGATAGTTCGTGACGACTAAGATAAACTTGAAACATATGCCAATTCCAATGGCATATCCTTAATCTGCGCGATTCTACGGCTCAGCGTTTTGCATTAGACAATGATGACCTCAAAAATGGGCTTGGAAGCATTGGACAAACGATTGATCAAAGTAATGATTCTGGCTGGGCTTGAAAGAATGCAATATTTACAGTAAGACCCCGTATAACTGTGGTAAAGGAGTCAGGGAACAATAGCCGGAAGAAGAAATACTGTCTTTGAGGTGGCACATGGTCATGTAATAGATGACGGAGCTTAAACTGGAAGTATGACCGTGCTAGTTTAAGTTGGTACCAGCACTAAATCAATGCTCAGATTGTCAGGTTGCTGGGCAATACTGTGACTGTCGCTAATAGGGAACACGACCGAAATGAGGATGGATCAAAGAGTCATTAGATTTGCATTCAATTATACCAACGAAGCGTTAGTAGCTCTCTGTGGTGTTGAATATGTCTGACGGATAAGCTTAAAAGCACAACTCAGTGTTCGTATAGGTTATGTTTAAAAGAAGCATGAGGCAAGTTGTCAGTTTTGTCTTAACATAAACATA